AAATAAGTAAGTTTTGTATGGATATTAAGAAATGATAATCATTAGAAAATGTTAGGAGTTTATAAAATTTATAGTTAATGTTTAGAATAATAATTTTTAAAGATAAGACTAAGAGAATTTGAAACTCATTGTACGTAAATAAACATGTTTGATGTTATAGTTTTAGAAAGTAAACAATACATCATTATGGTTAAAATTTAATAATAATTAATATGATTAGTATGTAATTAATAAGTTTAAGAGTTAAGGGAAATAAGAATAAATAGAGTAGTGTAATGAAGTCTGGTAAAGAACAAAAACATTGTTGTGCAGAAAAACAATATGTCTTAAGAGACAGTTATCTAGTCTTAAAAATTCACTAAAGCAGACAGTACATCATTGGGATTTTGATAATGGTTCAAGCAGAAACATCAAAAAATACTGTCTGTTCCACTGTGGTCAACTAACTGATTGTGTCTGATGCCAAGAATTTTCAAAGACTACTTTTTTGTAAAAAAAAAAAGTATATAATCTGGATGTGAACTAACAATAAACAGCATCTGTTCTGCTCACAACAGAGTCAGGTGTCTGAGTGTTTCTCTCTTTCGCCGACTCTGTCTCTCCTTTAGGAAATCCTGACCCACTGGAGCTGGACTCCAGCAAGTTCCCACCCAACTCTTGGCTTCAGTTGTGTGATGGGTACAAAAGGATTCATTCTATTATTCTCTCTACTATGGACTAAAATCTTCCATAATAAAAAGTTTTAAAAAATCACCTGGAACATCTGTAAAATATATAGATTTCAGCTTAATGTCTCCCCTCTCCCCTCTGGGTACACTCTGGAGATTCTAACTTAGTATATCTGACGTGGGATTCAAGAAACTGAATTTTTTTTTTTTTTTTGAGTAGGCATTCTCTCTGTTGCCCAGGCTGGAGTGCAGTGTCATGCTCACAGCCACCACAGCCTAGACTTGCTGGGCTCAGGCATTCCTTCCACCTCAGCCTTCCAAGCAGCTGGAGCCACAGGTGCTCGCAACTATGCCCGGCTAATTTTTTTTATTTATTGTAGAAACAAGGTCTCACCAAGTTGCCCAGGCTGTTCTTGAACCCGTGGGCTCAGGCAATCCTCTCACCTTGGCCTCCCAAAGTGTTGGGATTAT